GGGGGGGGGGGGTGTCCAGACCCCCTAGACACCCCTCCCCTTTTGTCTACGCCACTGTAATGATGGATTGGTGTATCCTAACTATTTCCGAAAGCTTTGAGCATTATCATGTGTATACACTGGTGCGGGAAGAGAGATTAATTTTGATGATACTTACTCATTACAATACCGGAAGACACTCTTGATGTCGATTTCCCTAGCGCATGCATTTACCAAAGGAACGGTGACCATTTGTGAGCCCATTCCAACCAACATTAAGGTACCACCAGTTCGTGTAATCTAAAGCAAACAAAAGAAAACCGGTAAAAATATGCTGATCATTTAGTATCTACTGCTTAGACTTAATTCACCAAAGATGTTGAACAACTTTATTGGCCTTCTAGGTTAAGAAATAATATTTCGATAGCTATATTTTTCAAATACCTATTTGTCGTCTTAACAAATGAGAATGAACGGTAATTTCTGTTTCAGTTCCTTTTCTCTCATACTGCAATAGGGTGCAAAGGTGAAAAATGTGTACTTCAACTGCATCGTTACACAAAGTTCCCGGTTAATTTTTTTTCAAGAAAACGACGTAAAATATTTGCTAGAAATTTTCCGAAAATACTTTTAATGGATGTGGAGAATGCCCGGCAAATTTCAAGAAAAACTTGGAACTAGGTCCCTTAAAAAATATGGCACGAGCAAAGGTTTATCATGTCAAAAAAAAAGATACGCATTTTTCTACTTTCGCCATCGATTTTTTATGCTACATACTGGATAATGCAACTCCTAATACGTTAGAAACCTCTACCATGTTGAATTTTTATTAATCGCCATTTATTCCACCTTCAGAAATGCTATTTTTTTTGTTAATGTGCTAAAAGCAATTCAAGCATTTTTAAAAAATCCACACTGTCAATCAAGTATATGCCTGCTCTCAATCCCATAAGAGCACCCATTTAAAAATGCGTTTATTCGATGATTTTGTAGATATTAAGATACCACCCATGGTGTCTACTAGTCGTGAAAAAGTATAGTTCTTTAATTGAAGGCACTCTCCACTATCAACAAGGAGGCGGAAATTTAGACACACTGCAATCGAGAATATGTTTTCGAATAATTCTTCGTTGATCCTCTTAAGTGTGGTACTCACATTGATTCCTATGGTGATGCATTTTTCATTTCCACTGCAGTCAATGGTGACATTAGGAAGATCGCCGATAGCCGATCGAATGCGCTCAATAATAGAGGATTCTTCCTCCTTGGCAGGGTCTACGACTAGTGTTACGTCAGCGCCACAGTTCTTGGCAACCTCCAACCTTCTCGGGCTCCGAGCTGAAACAAACATGCATACGGAATTTTATTGGCCAAAAGAATTTAAATAAGACCTTCATTAGCACCATAAATTAAGCAAAACATGGATGAAATCAAATCAATGCTGTTGTTGACCGTTCTGTCAACAGAGATAGTCGATTCAATCCTTCCAACCAAAAAGCGCCTGCTGATCTCTTTGGTTTGTATAACCAAGCTTTCTTTCTTTATGACACCAAGTCTGACCGTTATGCACCGACTTATGACTCCTATTTCCAGTTTGTGAACCGAATGGGTAATTTGATGAAGGGCGTAACCACCATAGGTCGAGACTTAAAACACGAAAAACTTGATTTTCTCTACAACTCATCGTATTTCTGTTTTAAAAAATGTATCAATTTACCGTCGGTAATAAGACCATGATCACACAAATAGGGTTGGAAAAATTGGGCAAGAAATACATTTTTTAAAAATTTTGTTGGACTACCCCTCCTTCCATAAACTTACTTAGTGGTGCCATTTTTAGTAGTATTCGATAGTCTTGTACGATAGAATGCATTTTCGATGAGAATATTGAATGACATAGTTTGTGCCCATAGGAAGCACCCTCATCTGGGAGGAAGGGCTTGGAAATAATTACGCCCTTTTTTCCCTTGAAGCAGACATCAAATGCTGAAAGAGACATTGAAAGAGCAATTTTGGTAGAATTGAACGGTATTAAAATGCGTCCACACTTAAAGAATAGTAATTCGTCGAAATCCCATCCCTGAAAATTTGGCGGTTACGCCCTCCTATATAACCCATTCAATGCGATGGCCAAAGTTCAAAACTACGTATCACCGGTTGCAACGTTGCAGATTTCCGGCCATAATTTATTTTTTCCTTGGAATACTAGTCAGCTTAATTGATTGAAAACTCCTTCGATTTTTCTTCTCTATTAGCAGAACATTCCCTAAAAATTTCAAGCCAAAAACTTGGATTGCATCTCTTCATAAAAATTGAATTGGAGCTCAAATTTTGAAACGCCACAATGGAGATAGGTGGTTTAGCCCTTCGGTCATCGAATTGTGATGCGTATGATTGACTCACCTGTGCAGACGACGAATGCTCCGTAAGCTTTGGCGGCGAGGACTGACACAAGTCCGATGGGACCGGCTCCGATAACGAGAACTGTCGTTCCTAACTGCACTCCTGCGCGACGGCAAGCGTGGACACCGACGGACAAAGGTTCCAACAACGCACCTTCCTCCAGAGAGACATTGTCGGGTAATCTGAAACAAATTCCATCCGCTCTTTAAGCTCATTCAATTTTAAAAAATAAAAAATAAATTTAAAAAGGCCCTCCCGAAAGAGCTTTGGAAGGATAAAGAACTTTGCCGGCTAGGTGTCGCAGATAGCCAGAGAGTACTCTGTGCGTCCCAAACTCCGATACAGTAGACTTTGGATTATCCGGCTTCGTATTATCCGGACTCTGGATTATCCGGATCGATTTTGCAACCATGTAACTACGTACGCATTCCGATAAGTGAGCGGATCCGCGGAGAAGCGGTCGCAAGGCATATTGGTGCCTGCAAGGCTTAAGGAATACTTCATGCATTGCGCCAAACAGTGAGGTCGGCGTGGAACGCATTAGCGCCTACTAGATTGCATAAATACTTCTCGCATTACGCCAAACGCAGTGCAGTCAGCGGCTACAAGACTGCATGAATACTTCACGCATTACGCGCTTTAATCGTTGTATTGTAATTTATCGTTGTCGGCTACCATTCACAATCACCATTGAGTCGTTCAGTTTGGCATTAACCTATTAAATTCGTGTTGGTATGTACATGATGTATACATAATAAGAATACTGTGGTGTTGGTTAGTGGTGTTTGCGTTTACTATTATTATCCGGATTTCTTTTTCATCCGGATCGGGCCCGGCACCAATTAATCCGGATAATCCAGAGTCTACTGTAACACTATTTTAACTCTCCGGAATGCAAGTTGCATACCCACGGATATGAAGGCAAACTTCATTATTTGGAACACGCTTAAGAAAATCACGTCCGGCTTCCCACAGACCAATATGATTTGATTCTGGCTATTGTGTCATGAATTAGTTTGTCGTAATGTGGGATGATTTTATTTTAATCATCATATCTCACCTTCAATTTGCACAGGATTGTGATATTTTTGATCAACCGGCTGGAGAGACTTATTTAATTCTTTGAAAAACATGAAAAAGAAACCAATATTTTCCTCCAAAATCTTAAGCATTTTTAAAGTTTTCCTCTAGCTCGGAAGATAGTTTTCAATGATCTCGTATTAGAACTTATAAACGTTAATAATGAATAAGTGAATATTAATACACGTGAAACTCGATTTTACAAGTCCAGAAAATCTGCGAATTCTACAGCGTAAGACGATTTTAAGTGAGCACTTACTTGTGGCAAAAATCGGCGGCGTGTACGTAGTATCGGGCTAGGTTTCCATCATCTGGGGGTGTGGCGCAGAATGTGAGATCAGGACATAGGTTGTATTTGCCTTCTTTGCAAAATTGGCATCGCCTGCAAGGTACACCGGGCTCTACTGCTACTCTGTCACCTGAGAAAAGATCGATAAAGGGAATGTTATTGATAATTGGAATCATCATCTTTATCATTGAGTTTAAATAATAAAGCACAAACTTGCATCACTCGAAAAAAAATAAATAAATAAAAATAAGTAAATGATACGCATATATACTAATGACTTAAATTGACTTATGACTTAATACCTATTTGCGGTGTCAAAAATGTTTTTTAAAACTTTGCATCAGCGTTAATGATATATTTTCGCAAGAATAGTAATTATCAGGGTATCGTTATTGGTATAATTTTCTAGTCCACTGTCGATAAATTATCTTTTTGAAAAGAAGGGTTTCACAATCCGAATGGTAAAATCTTGGGACACCTCTCAAGTAAAATAATCGATTCTTACGGCGGTCGGTGGTACATGCGTTGTTTTGCAATTTAGCCAGAAATTGTTTTTCCTAATTTCAAAATGTAGTCCATCTAACTCATTTGAATTTGGTCTACATAGCTATAATAACGCTTGTCGGTTATAGCGCGTTCACATTTCAACCACTTCGTCTTCAAAAGTCTAGGTGGGCAAATTGAGTGATTCGGGAGCGAAAATAGTCGCATGCACCCATTTGTCAGTGAGTTTTTTTGAACGCGGACTCCGATGTGCATGTATTAATGTTTGCCGTGGACTGTGGAGTCGAATCAATTTCGGTTTGGCTTACCTTTCTTTAGATGTTTAACGTTTTTGCCTACTTTGACGACTGTGCCACTGGCTTCGTGTCCGATAACCATGGGGTCTTTCACAATGAAATCTGCGATTCTTCCATGTTCGTAGTAGTGCACATCTGATCCACAAATTCCAACGTATGCCATCTGCAGTAAAACCTCTGAAACAACACAAAAGACGAACAATTAGGTGAAATCACGAAATGATTTGTGCGGTCTAAGGCTGGGTAGACACCCACATTCTTATAGCATAAAAGTTTTCAATAATCAAAAGATTTTAATGACCTAAGAATATCGTAAGATTTTGATGGGCTTGTAAACGGTTTAATTTCTTAATTATTGTGTTTTAGGAATTGGTTATCGACGGTAAAACTACCAGACCACGGATCTCCTTTGCGGCGTTTGAGAATCTCCGCCCCCATTTTATTTTTTGGAGGGAAACAAATCAATTTCATTCCTTGAAGTTTTCACAGGGTTTTCCTTGCACAGAGAAGGAAAATCACGGAAGTTTTCAAGAATTGATGTTAAGTGGTTTTCCACTAACAAAATCAAGTATGACAAGAAGTCTGCAACGTCGGAAACCGAGATACGTGGTCTAGCAGTTTCACCGTCGTTATCTTTCATTCAGTTGACTATTCTTACGATTAGCTGAATTTTAAGTGCGAAGAACTCAAAATGGGAAAAA